GAGAGAAACCAGGGCCAGAGATGTGGCTCCCTCCTCATCCACCTCCCTAGCCCAACTTACGTGGCTGCGGCTTCTTCTCTAGTATCTTGGAGATTTCATGTAATTTAGTCTTGATCTGGCTTAAGTCTGGGGGCAGGGGGACAGGAGAAAGCTGGTCTGGGCCTCAGACAAGGCCCTCACCTTTATTGGAAGCCTCTTCCCTGCCCACCCCGCCCCCGCCCCCGCCTGGGTGTTGCAGAGCCCATGTACTTGGCCTTCCCTTTTTAAATATCCCCGCCCAGAGGGTGACATCCATCCATCACCCCCTAAACCCTGAGCACTGGGAGGGCAGACCCCTGCTGTCGCCTCCCCCAATCCCCCAGCGCCCAGCATGAGACCAAGCCCGCCCAGTAAGGGTCTGCAAGGGCACCTGTTGACAGCATCTTCACTTTCTCATTCCCCATGTGGACATTTCTCTTGATCATGTCAATGTCCTGCCTGGCCTCCGTGATGAGCTGCTGGATGCTGCTCCAGCCCTGTTTCTGCTCCTCCTGACACTGTTGTCCCGAGATGGAGACTGAGGCAAGAAACAGACACGTGTGAATCACCGCTGCCCACCCTGACCCCATGGGCCTCCCCCAGGTCCCACCCTTACCATTCTGGAGCTCCCTTTTCACGACCAGCAGCTCCTGGGACACCTCAGAATCTGTTCAGGAGGAGGGGCGGGGGAGGCAGGAACACCCTTGAAGCGCCCCCAGTTGGGCTGTCCTGGGAACAAGGGTGGGGGAAGGGAGAGCAACGAGGGAGAAGGGAGACACGGTGGGAACACGGGGCCTCCCCCACCTCCCGAGGCCCCCCTTTACGCCGCCCCAGCCCCCTCCCCACCCACCAAAGAACGACAAAAAGGAAAGTGAAACCGAAGACCCTACTCACTCTTCACCAGGACCAAGGCCAAGAGAACGATGCAGAACAGGGCAAGGAGGATGTACAGGCTCAGGGTGGCTCTGTGCAGCCAACGAGGGACCTGGGCAGAGTCTGGGGCCGGCCTCGACCAGGCTGGGACTGGAGCAGAGGCAGGACAGGTGACCTCCAGGGCCCAACACTGCCGCTTAGACCGTCGGCACTGACTCTACACTGAGCTCCGACTCAGAGCTGTCTCACCTGCTCCCACTCCTGCTGATACAGCCACTGCGACCACCAGCATGCACCCCGCCCACAGCCACCAGTAGTTGTCCATAACGCTGTCACCATCAGGTCTCCCCCTTGCCATCCCCTTCACCAGCACTCACAACATCAGCAGCAGCTGTCACTGAAGCCCATCCACCTCAGTGCCTGTCGTTATCAGCACTGTCCCCAGCAACAAGTCTCATCAGCTCTTGTCTAGGTGGCTCCTTCCTGATCCACTGCACGATCACCTCACCAACATTACCCACACTGTCACCAACACTCGCAACACCAGCACCACTCGCATCATCATCACCACCTGCGGAGCTACCCCTGCGACTGTGACTCACAAGCCCTGAGGCCACCACGCCCCACACCATTGCCCCAGGCCTCCTCACAGTGCCCTTGTTCCCGTGATGTCCTACCAGGGGCCCCTCCCGAGGCTGTGGGGTGCGGGCTGGCAGGTGGCTGCTTGCCTCGATTCTTGGGTGGTGAATGGCTGCCCCTTGGTTGCTCCTGGTTTCTGAAGGTCAAGGTGATATTCTCATAGTCAGGGTCTGCACCTGTGGGTGGGTCAGTGAGAATGCAAACCTGCCTGGGGCTCTGGGGCTGGGGTGGGGGTCGGAGGGGGGCTCAGAGATCTTGGCTCAACCAAACCCCTGCAGATAACAGATTTCTGGGGATAAAAGAGAAGGAATGGGGAAACAAGATCTGCTTCTTGGTTAGGTGGAGAGGGCGTGTGTGAGTGTTTGGGGGGTACACGTACACACGTGCCTTTTGGGGTAGGGGAGGGAGCCCTGTGACCCAGCTTTCAGCCCCTTACCTCTCCCATCCCCACCTCTCCCTCCTGCCGTCTCCCCTCCCCACCTTGAGGTACCGAACCTTCCTTATGGTCTGGGGCCCTCTGTTTCTTGTCTTTGAAGGCTGTTGCTTGCATCTTGACCTCCTGATTCAAGCAGATTTCCTCAGACCCCATGGTTCCCAGTCTGCCAATTTGCCCACACACACCCCACCCACCGGAAGGCGTCGCGGCAGATGAGGAAATCTCTGGGTTGAGGGTGGGGGGAGGAGAGGTCAGCCTCCTCTTTTCAGTGATCTGGGACCCTCTGACCCTGGGGCATCCTCTCCTCCCCTCCCAGATCCAGAGGGTCTTAGGAGTCCAGAGGTCTCACGGAGGGTCAAGCAGAGAAGCCCATGGCCCCAGAGACAGGACAGAACGGTCAGGAACCCGTGGCAGTCATCCTGTTGCAATATACAAATGTATCATCAGGCTTACACAATGTGACATGTCAATTATGCTCAATGTAAATAAATTCAAAAGAATTTAAAGGATGATCAGGAACTTTACAGGAAGCTGTGTGTGTGTCTCCCCAAATGAACTTTGTCCCCTGCCCCTCTCAGGAGAAAACCTGGGGCACCTGGGATCCCCACCTTTTAGGTTTGAGGCAGCCGGGCTTGGAAGCAGGATTCCTGAGCCTGCCACGTCTTTCTCCCCCCGGCCCCAGTCCCACCCCTCAGCTCCACCCCAAGAATTCTGCTTCTTTAAGGCCCATGGGAGGAAAGGAACGGAATTAAGGCAAGAGGACCAATTACTGGAGCCCCACCCACATCTGGGACTGAAGCCAGACCCACGCCTTGACCTAACCCTGGATGTGGTGTCCCCTGTCCCCGGGTCCCCAGACAGAGACTAACTGGAAACACTCACTCTCATCCACACATCTGCTCATCTACCCACACTCACACACACTCCCAAATACCCTTACGCATCTGCTCACGTATTCACATGGCTTGCTCATTGGCATGCCTCTACATGTGCTTGCCCTAGAGAAATATCCATATTCATGCATTCACAGGGTGGCACTCTGTCTAGATGTCTTAGAGCTCTCTTTGTCTGTGACCTTGAAGACTGGAGATAAAAATGAGACAATGTGTACAGGGAATTTTCTCTTTAACTTTAGAACAGTGCCTTCTGGTAGAAATGTAATGTAAACCACATCTCCAGTTTAAAATTTTCTGGGGGCGCCTGGGTGGCTCAGTCGGTTAAGCGTCCGACTTCAACTCAGGTCACGATCTCGCGGTCCGTGAGTTCGAGCCCCGCGTCGGGCTCTGGGCTGATGGCTCAGAGCCTGGAGCCTGTTTCCGATTCTGTGTCTCCCTCTCTCTCTGCCCCTCCCCCGTTCATGCTCTGTCTCTCTCTGTCCCAAAAATAAATAAACGTTAAAAAAAATTAAAAAAAAATCATCTTAAAATTTTCTAGCAGCCGCATTAAAAAGATAACAAAAAGACAGACAGTTAATTTTAATAATGTATTGTACTTAGCATAGTACAATTATCACTTCAGCATGTAGACGAGACTAAAAAATTATTGAGATGTTTTTGGTTTTTAGACCTTTCGGTTTTGGCTCTGAGACCTTTTTTTGGTACTAAATCCTTGAAAACAAATGTGTCTTGTGTTTACACTTAAGGCACATTTCAAGTATTTGATGGCTGCCCTACTGGACAGCGCTGGTCTAGACTATTGATGAAGTTTTGGGGTGATGGGTCCAGAGCCGACGGCCAAGAAAGAATTCTTTTTTTTTTTTTTTTAATTTTTTTTTCAACGTTTATTTATTTTTGGGACAGAGAGAGACAGAGCATGAACGGGGGAGGGGCAGAGAGAGAGGGAGACACAGAATCAGAAACAGGCTCCGGGCTCTGAGCTGTCAGCACAGAGCCCGACGCGGGGCTGGAACTCACAGACCGCGAGATCGTGACCTGGCTGAAGTCGGACGCTTAACCGACTGCGCCACCCAGGCGCCCCAATAAAGAATTCTTAAAGATGTCTTGGTGCAAAAAAAAAGTGATTTTATTAAAGCATGGGGACAGGACGCCTGCGCAAAAAGAGCTGCGCTGGGGTTGTGACAGGTAACTCAAATATGCCCTCATTTGGGAGGGGATCAGTGATGGAGTAAGTCTCTAAGGAATTTTGGAAGCAAGGGTTCCGGGACCTTGTGGGGGTTGGCTGTTGCTAGGGAAACACCATTTGTTACTGTTTGATAAAACCTCAGTCACGAAACCCTTCAGATGTATATGGGGGAGGGGCCAGAAGCTGGGAGGCTGGTTGCCAGCATATATCTTGGGGAAGTTGAGATAAAGGAAGTTGATTTACAGGATCCTTGAGGTAGGGATCGTGTTAAGCTAAGGTTTTTTTTGCCCCCAGGAAAGTGTCATCCTTGAGGCAGCTGAGCTCCTAGAGGGAGGTCCCTCTGCTGGTTTCAAGGACATATCAACGGGCTGTAGGCAGTAAGCGGATTTGATTTTTCATTTGCCTTAGTTTCCCACATCACCACGGCAAGCACTTAAACCCCTTTCCTTTGTTCTTGGGTAGCTGGGAGTGTCCAAGGAATATCACACAGATCCCACCCGGGTGAGAGGAGGGGGTGGGGGCGTGCTACAGCTTGTGCTCAGCCTGCCTCCTGCTCCCTCATCAGCTATCCTAGTTTCCTCCCTTTGGAACAATAAGTAAAAGAGAATTTAAAAGACTTTTATGTGTGAGAAGTATGTTTTAGCTCTTAAATGTGTGATTAAACTGTTCTCTAAACTATTGCCAACCTTGTCTGCTCAGAGATTGGTTTAGTAGTGATTAGATGGCAGGGGCGCCCGGGTGCCTCAGTCGGTTGGGCCGGCCAACTTCAGCTCAGGTCATGATCTCATGGTTCGTGGGTTCGAGCCCCGCGTCGGGTTCTGTGCTGAGAGCTCGGAGCCTGGAGCCTGCTTCGGAATCTGCGACTCCCCCTCTCTCTCTGTCCCCTTCCCAGCTCATGCTCTGTCTCTCAAAAAATAAATAGACGTTAAAAAAAAAAATTAAAAAAAATAGTGATTAGATGACAGCTCCTCCCTCTGACCTTAGAAAGAAGTCAGCAACTGAGGAATTCAACTCCCTTTCCTGATGTAACAGCCGCGGAGGAGCCGGACCAATGGGCAGCTGGCTCTGCTGTGATGGACAGGTGCAGGGGGTGGGGCCGAAGCACCGCACATTACGGAAGCTCAGTTGAAGCCAAGACCAGACTCCAGCCCTCTGGCAAAATGGTAGCTGTGAGACTGGAGGCCCACAGGCAGTCATGAGAGGGCTCTGTGAGGTTCCCTGACCAGCCCCTGCCATGGAGTAATAGTCTCAGTTTTCTCTTAAGAAAGAATATGCGTCTCAAGTCCAACCGACCGTAAACCAGAGGTTGGTTTAGACTGGGCACATGATCCAGGCCCAGCCAATCAGAGTCTAAGATTTGACACAGGGGTGGGCAAATGAGCCAGAGTCAGCCAATGAAGCTCAGGCCCGGGACTTTTGTTGCATTTACCAGGAAAAAAAGGCATTTCGTCTTTTTTTCTCTCCACTGGGACTCTCAGACACTGGGAAGATGTAAGCCTGGAGCTGTGATGGGGAAGGGCCTGCTGAGAGAGAAGCCAGCACTGAGGAAAGCAGACCGGAAAGGCAGTCGGGTCCTGGAGGCATCATCTGATACCTGGATCCAGCCATACCTGAATCCATTGTTTTACCCTGAGCCTCTCAGTTACATAACCCAGAAATTTCCTTTTACTTTTGCTCACACTAGTTTGAAGTGGCATTTGTGGCACTTGCAACTAGACCAATCTTGGCTGCCTCAGGGGGCTGGGCAGTTGGCAAATGAGGAAATGGAGGCTTAAGAAAGGAGCTTGCCTGTCCAAGTGTGCACTGTGGGACAGAGAATGACTGTGTTGGAAGTGAAGTCTCTGAAGAGTACCTTCTTGGGGTCCAGATACAGGGGGGCAATTGAGTGGGACTTGGAGGTAAAGACGCATTCTGATCAGAATCTGGGGACAAAGGAGGGCACCCCCCTCCACATGAGTGAGGGGGCAGGACAGGCCAGGTACTAGACTCAACTTCTCTCCTCCTCAACACACTTCTGACTCAGTGGTCCCACCTCAACCCCATGGCCGCTGTGGGGTTAGGAGGGAGGACCTAGGAGAGGAACCTCTGGATTGGGGTCTGGGTGGGCTCCAGGGGCAACAGGAGTGTTGTGATGTCAGCTTACGGCCACCAGGAGCAGACAGGAGGCTGTGGCATCGTAGGAGGTGGGTGGCCGTGGAAGGAGAGTCCAAAACATCTTGAAAACCAGGATCCCACCCCATTGCCCGTTCCCAAGTCCCTGGAGCGTGCTGCTGGGGACTGTGACGTTTGAGGCTGGGGTCCCTTTCAAGACCGGGCACCAAGTGTTCTGAAGTCTGAGTCTTTGTCTGTCAAGGGACTGGGTTTTAAGATAATTTAAAACTATCTTAACTAATAGGATTATTATTTGATAATAATAACAATAATAATAATAATAAATTAGGATTAGGAGTCCCAGGGAACTGGACTCTGAATCACCAGATTTGTGCCCCCAGGAAGCTGTGCAGGGGTCACACGTGACTCATCTTCTGGGTCAGAATTCAGACTGAGATCGCGGTCATTCCAGGCTGGGATGGGGACTCTGTCCAGGGCTTAAATATGTCTATGTGTCTATGGCTCCTCTTTCCACGGGCACACCTTTGTGATTCAGGGGTGCCTCCTTGTGCCTACGTGTGTGTGTGTGTGTGTGTGTGTGTGTGTAGGCATGGTGTATCCCTGTGTGACCATAGTAACTGGGTTGTGTACTGTGTGCACATGGCCGTGTGTAACTGTGTCTGGACATGGAGGGTGTGCACCTGCGTGGGGTATCCACGTGCGTATGTGGTTATTTATTTAACAGACATTTCCTGAGTGTCTACTATGTGACATGCTCTCTTTGAAGCGCCAGGGATACACCAAAGAGCGGACAAGTACCCTGCACTCTGTTTTCATATTCAAGTGTCCGTGAGGGTGTATATACCGCGGGTTGTTAACGAACTCCTCGAAACTGCGCCTGCAAGTGTGAAAACGTGAACTCGCGGTTCGTGGCCTCAGGTAAGCGTTCTCAGCCGGCTCCGGTGGGGATTCCTCCCTGTCCACGGCCTGGCTTTGCCTGTGCCTTGAGGGACCCTCAATGAGGTTGGGGAGTGACGGATGGCGGCTCAGGACTCTGGGCTGAGAGGTGATTCAGGGGTCCACCTTGACCCTGGGGCTACTGGGGGCTTGGGGGGCCTGGAGTGTATGAGGGATGGCGGGGCGGGGGTCCCCGTGCCGTCCAGACCTAGACCCCTGATGAAGCCTCGTTGTGGGGGCTGGGGCAGGATGAACCAGCGCCTTCCTGGAAGGCCAGAAACCCGAGGGTGATCGTCAAAGTGGCCTCAAAGGTAACACCCACTTCCCCTCCTGAAGGAGGCCATGCTCCTTGGGTGTGAGTGTCCTTATAGAGGAAGTTGAGGCCCTCTTCTCCGAGGCAGAGGTGGGGGCAAACATGGCAAGAGGGGGATGGCCAGAAGAAAGCCACGGGCGCCGCCCCCCGGCCACCGCCTCCCTCCAGCGTCTACGTGCCCCGCTCTTTTCGGAGACGCCAGCTCTCTCCCCCAAACCTCAGCAAGACAGCGCGGCGCCCAGCCCCTCGCCGTCGTCTTCTCTGGGTTTATTTCCAGCCCCGCCCCTCCGAGGCCTGGCCTCGCCCCATCTGAAGCCCGTCCCCGCCCCTCTGAGGCCTGGCCACGCCCCCCAGCCCGAGCCGTCCTCGGGCGACCTCAGGCGGGGGCCTGCACGCGACAGCAGCGAGCCCCGGTCCAGTCCATGCCCGCGCACTGGCAGTGGCAGGTGGTCTCGGCGCGCACGTCCCACGAGCCGCAGGCGGAGCCACAAGTGCAGGCGGTGACGGCGAAGCCTGCGGGCGACAGGGGAGGGAGCTTGGCCCCGAGCCGGAGGCTACGGGCCTGGGGGTCGGAGGGGGCTGGAGGCTCCAACACCTGGGAATGGGGGCCGCAGTGCTTGCGGCAGGGAGGCCGGCGGCTGGGGGGCCTGGACTCTCCAGTGTCCTAAGGAAATGCGGTCCCGGAGCGGGGGCGCGGGGAGGGCTGGGGCTGCAGACCAGGACTCCAGGGAAGTGGACTCAAGCAACCGAGGCTGGGGGCGCCTGGGGGGGCTCAGCTGGTTAAACCTCGGACTCAGCTCAGGATCCCAGGGTTGTGGGATCGAGCTTCGCGTTGGGCTCCTGCTGAGCCTGGAGCCTGCTTGGGATCCTCTGTCTCCCTCTCTCTCTGCCCCTCCCTTCCTCTGTCTCTCTCAAAATAAAGAAATCTTTAAAGGGAAAGAAATAGAGGCTGGTCTTAGAGGGAGGGGGTACGGGGTACTGGGAATATAACTGAGAGC